CAGGGCTGGCTTGTTGTTGGATTCTTGGGAAACTTGTTTATTTTTCAGCACAGACATTTCTGTCTGATAATTCTTTTCCTTTTCAGCTCTCGAATTCTCCAGAATCTTCCTGAATACGATGGACGACAGGGCGTTTCATACGCCACGTCGTCTGTCGTACTTTGCTGTACCCAAGTTGCTCGGGGCGACATCTAGTCGTCCCGAGAAAAGTTCAAAGTCCGCGGGCGACATCTGTTCGACCCGGGACAAAGGGATTGGAAGGGGACTGGAAAAAAATTCGAGTTAGGGGGGTTTTCGACTTAGGGAGGTTCGACTTATGGAGGTTGGACTGTACCTCAAATTGCATCATCCACGTCCTCTTTCATTAAAAGCATTAAATAGTTGCTTCTCAGTTGGGATTCATGATTTAGAGTTTATAGTTGCAACAGCTGCATGCTTGCAAAAGTTAGCACTAAATCTTCTGATGATGAAACGGATTGATTAAATTTATTTGGCTTGATTTATGGATTAAACACTTAAGGGGATTTAAACCTGGGGACGATTCCTGTTGTTCTAGATGTATTCATAGAAGATGTTTGAAAAAAAATACAGAATAATTTATTCAAGGCTGAATCTAGAATAATCAAGGTCATGTGAATTGGTGAGCGTTTTAGAATGCTTGCTTCGGATGTATAAGCATGGAATACCTTGAACATTTCCAGCCTTGAAAAGTTTATTGCCATCCTTCACAATTATATTTCAGTTTCATTGAAAAAAAGGTTCACATATAGTCTTGGTAAATTCTTCAACACCGCTGAGACAAAAAGGATTGTGATGATGGAAGGATATGAAATTTTTTGTGTTGCAGTTCTGATTTAAGCCTATGTACATAAATTATTTAGTTTTGGTAGCAAGCTTTAAAGCTTGCTACCAAAACGGCTTAACTACCAATTGCATTAAAAACGCATTCTGAATGCATTTCAGAAAAAACTTTCAGTACAGCAACACAGAAAAAAAAGGCATTTCAGAAGAAGCTGGACATAACAGTTATGCATAACAAATGCGTTTTGAATGCGTAACTGTTACGTGCAGCAATACCCATAAGAAATTATTTGCTGGGTTGCTGGGATTCTTTTGGTTTCAAAGAGTTTTCTGTGGCACCACTCAATCACAGTTATACCTATCAATTTTACAATTATATTTCAGATTTGTTCCAAAAGGACTCACATATATTCCTTGTAATTTTTTTAAACTGCTGTGACAAGAATAAGGTTTCTGATCATGGAAGGATGCCGCTTTCCTTTTGCAGTTTTGTCTATTTACATAAATTATTGATTTTGGGCAACAAGCATTTCTGGATGTATTTGGGTTTCAAAGAATTTTCTATGGCGCCAGTCAATCTAAGTTACCTCTTATTCTTACAGAAGGCTCTAATTTTCCTGCAACTTATTCCTGAATTATTTTTCCAAACTTTTTTATTAAAAAAAAGCTTTCATTTCACTACAAAGGCGCAGGAATTCTTCAAAACTGATACCCCAGCAGTTCTGAATTATGATTCAAAAGCAGGGTATGTCCGGTATAGTGGCCCACGGGTTATCGATTAATATTACAATTCTTATACGTTATGATTCGTCAAGAAATCTTACAAGTGCCAGATTTCCTGCTCTGAAAATGCGTCACTGCAGAAGCCATAAAAGTAGCAGAATTTTCCAAAGTTAGCTCGTCGCGTCCCCATTCAAAGGTCCCACTCCAAACTCCTTCACTGAACAGTGAACACCATATCACCATATTCCCACCTCAGATCCAACTTATTTCCAGTTCACAGCCCTGTTCTTTATTTTTCTTTTTTGGTGGGGACACCCCTTAAATCGAAATTCCCCGAGAGATCCTTTATCAGCAGCAGAGGATAAAAACATGTTGGAGTTACTTGGACTCTTCGTGTTTGGCACGGTTGCCTTGAAGGTGTTCAAAAAGTCGTCCCCGAACGGTGAGTGGATTTCAGTACTGTATGAAGTAAAAAAAAAAAGCACTGAAGTGATAAATCGATTATATATATTATTTTCGTGTGTGTGCATGTTTCTTTCTTTTCTTTTAGAATTTGAGACGCAATTTTTACGACCAATAATGAGCACAGTAAAAATCGGGAAGTGAGGAATTTCTGACAAACTAAACCCAATCAATTGGGGAAAATTTTTTAGTGGGGCCCGAAGACTCAAAAGAACATTCGTTTAAGACTGATTTATATTTTTGCGAATGGCTGCATGTTGGATCACATTTTGCATTAAACTTCAATCACATCTCAGAAATGGCAAAAATAGCAAAAAGATCCCCAAAAACCACTAGAAAATAGTTTAGTAACCTTAAAACGTGGCATATGAACGTTGTCCACAGTTGATTAAGAAATGGAGATGTGGAAAAATTCAATATTGGCCTCGTTTTTGAAAATAAATCAGGGAAAATTTACAACGTTTCTTCAACGTTCTTTCCTTGAAAATGCCTAATTTCTAATAAGATATCAAAATTCTAAATTATAATACTAATTAATTTTTCTGGAAAACTGACCGTGTCCATATGTATGACATTGTTGAAAAGCTTATTTAATGGCCACAATTTTCCTTAAATTCCTTTTTAATTTGAAATTGAACTTTCTTCTGTTCCCAATGGACTTTTTGTTGTGAGATTATAGTGTACAGTATATACAAACATATGCTGTTAAATTACGAGGAAATAAGCGGCGCTAAAAGTTCAAAACTAAAGAGATGTTGATTTCTGAAATTAAATCTAAAATGATTCTTGTTTTAACAATACAGTCAAGTGTTTTTGAATTATTTGCATTATCTTTCTCCAGGGAAATTGACGGTTTATCTCGGTAAGCGAGACTTTGTTGATCATCTGGGAAAAATTGATCCCATTGACGGAGTCGTTGTTGTGGACACCGATTATCTCCAAGGAAGAAAAGTTTTCGGACTGGTGAGTCATCTTCAATCCAAATTCTTCATTAAATTCAAATTTCTGAATTGAAGAAACTCAATTTAAAAAGAAAATTCACGATGACTTCCTTTCACCAGCACAAGCATCCCTAAATAATTTCAGTCACAAAATTTGAACCCAAACATGTCTTTATACAGCAGGAGTCAACTAAATTTTACCATGATCCAATTTGTTTGAAAGAAAACCGGTTCTTCAAGATAGAGTAATGGTAGGAATTTTGCCAATTTTATTTGGAAGAGGATTAGAAAATGCGTCAGAAATACGTAAAGTTCTGTAATTTGCCCGATCATGTCAAAATAAAATTATAGTGAGGGAATTTTTAAATGATTATAATCGTATGTAAGTTTTTCACTAACGATTTATAATATTCAGAATCGAATGGTTATATGCTTGGCTTGGGAAATCAAGTTTCCAATTTGAACATTTTCCATGTTACACTATTTTGCTGTTCGAAGAACTTTGTAAGCATGTCTATTGTCAGTTGAACAGTGTTGAAATTTTTGTTACTATTTATTTGGCAGTTCAAGGAAATTTTTCTCATCATCAATATTGAAAGTCAAATGTGAGTCAGTGAGACGCTGTTTCAAAAACGGATGCAGTATTCTTTGTTCAAGGCACCATTGAACTTTAGTTGCAGATTTTTAATTTTTTTAAAAACTTCAGAATAGTTTGTCAATTAAAATATGACAAATTTGACGCTTAAAATGTCCACTTGTGTTGTAAGGCTATACCTGCGCTTCGTCTTCTCTGGTACCCAGAGTTTAAGTCGTTTCTCTACACAAACCCCAAGACAGTTCAAGTAGGAAGGTTTGTTCCCAGTCCTGCAGTCACTTCTCTTCAGGTAAAAAACACAATTTGCATTTTGTAGACAGAAAATGTTGTGATCATCATGGGAAATTTTAAGCTAATTTTTTTTTTTCAATTTCGTACCTTTGTTGGATGATAGATTATTGATCAAGGTCCCTGTGGAGGAATTTCGTGGGATATCTCGACAAACTCCTTGTTTATAATCGAGAAGAAAAAGTTTGCACCAGTTTCTTATTGCTGATGAAAGAAAATTTATTTCATTTGTAAGATAAGAATTTGTAAAAAAAAAATCAACTTTCAACGGGATAAACTTAAAAAAGTCATTGTCAATTAAAGGAAATTTGCTGTCAAATAACGATTCATTTTCTTTCCTCTTCTTTCATTAAATACATGAACTCGTATACATGACTTGAACTGGTTTCATAGTTCTTTTATTTTCTTGAAAAGGTATATTTATTGGTGTATCATGTATGAAACCCTATTTTTCTGCTTTGATTTTTCATAAATGAATTACGCGAGCTGGTACTTGCATATGAATGCATTACATTAGGATTAGCCCAGTTATATCTTTTGTCAGGCCGATTAACGACAAAGATTAAGAAGAATGAATTGGACACAGAGTTCAGCCTTTAACAGCCGGATCCTCTTTAACAGAGTCCCTTTAAAGCAGCACACTTTAATTCAGGCACAGGACAACCACAGAAGGACAAATAAGTACGCTTAGGTAAATCAGGCAAACAACAGATAATCGTAACAGGACGACTAGCTCTGCACAACCGCCGTAAGGCAATCCCAATCTCTGAATGCTAGATTCCCAAAGTCTTTGGGACTTAGTTCCGGCTTCTGCTGCCGGAGATCTCTATCAGTTTGTTACTGACCCGGTTTACCGCAATGCGGCAAACCGGGTGCCTATCCGCTTCCGGGTCCCTGTGCTGCTGTTGCTGTGCGGCGTGCCCGAGCGAGGATGCTGCGCTTGGGTCACGCCGCGTGGACGCAACCCCACATCTCCTGAAAAAGGATATTCAAACTCATAAACTTCTCTTCAATCATGTCAATAATAGGAGAAGCTGATCAAAAAATTGGGGGCAAATGCGTACCCGTTCTTCTTTGAACTTCCGGCGACGTCCCCAACATCAGTCACTTTGCAGCCTGGAACCTTGGACTCTGGAAAGCCCCTGGGGGTTGAATATGACCTCAAAACGTGGATCGCCGAAAGCAAGGAAGAGAAGCCACATCGAAGGTCTTCCGTTTCTATGGCCATTAGAAAGGTAAAGAAAAATGTATCCCTATTATGGCGCCAAATTTATTTGCTGAAAACTGTGAACACTCATGAATCCCCAAATGAGTGTTAAAATAAATGTCCATGTAGTCACTGCGTGGATTCCCTTTCAAACAATGTCAGATAACTATCTTCAACTCAAATACTTTTGCCTGCTGCAGACCTCTTTAACTTTAATTTCTAGAGGACCTTTTGATGGGCTATTATTTTGAGAAGAGGACCATAGGAATGAAGAGTGATGCTTTCCAATTTAAGGAAATGAGTGCCTAATTACACAATTACAGTACATCATTGTTTGCAAGTTAATCAGCATCCTGTCAACTCATTTATCCAGCATTTCAAGGCCCAAAAGATCACAATATCCGTTGTTTTTCATCATTTCCCTTCAGCAAAGATATACGTATCGGTTTCCCTGATTACTCACAAATTCCCTACATTAAATTTTTAGTTCATAATTTTTTAGAAAATTGAATGCTTTTGGTTTAAAAAAAGTAGCACACGAAGTCATGCCGATTTTTAGAATGAGGTTGAATTAATCTGGATAGCTTCCTTTTCGGAACTCTCTGAAAATTTTATAAGTTTCAAAGGCGAGAATAAGAAATATCTCCAGGCACGAAGACATAACCTTCTTTCCCCAGTTTTTATGACTTGAAAAGATTTCCGAACATTTCAGATAAAAAATAATGCTGTGAATTTGAATGTTTTATGGCATTGAAAAATTAAACAAGCTCAACGTAAACTTATAATTCCGTTGTGTGGGTTACTTTGATGACCCAGGTACTGGATATTCTATCCTCTCATCGTGACTATATTTCTCGAAGGTTCAATACGCGCCAGTGGAAAAGGGCAGCCGGCAACCCAGTGCCATCGTGAGCAAGGGTTTCGCCCTGGCCACGGGCAAAATCAACCTGGAAGTGACTCTGGACAAGGACATCTACTACCACGGAGAGCGGATCACTGCCAATGTCCGCGTGAGCAACAACTCCAGGAAAACAGTCAAGTGTTTCAAAGTCGGCATTATCCAGCACTGCGAGGTGACTGTGGTGAATGCCCAGTTCTCCAGAGAGGTCGCCTCTCTGCAGACCAAAGAAGGGTGCCCCATCACCCCGGGGGCGTCCCTCAACAAGCAGTTCTTCCTCACCCCAGTCGCCGGGGAATTGTTCTTCTTTCTCCCGCAGCGAGACCTGCCAGCGTAGTTCCATTCTTCTGAGTTTATTATTATTATTATTATTATTATTATGATTGTCGGTATTAAAGAGGTAAACAGGTTCTTTTTACAAGTTGAGATTAAAAAAAAATCACGTTTCCAATAACGAAGACGTATGTGTATACGAGGTTTCAAATATTTCTAATCTCAAATGTTGGCAAGACAATGGCAGTTATCTCATGAAAAATATATTTTGGCTTTTCTCCTATGATACTTCAGACCAATTTTTACCTGATTTACAAACATAATTTAAATTTTTGAGTCCGAAAAACCATTCCACTGTAGCTGCTTCGATGGTTCTTGACTTAATTTTTGCACAAAAAATAGCAAAAGCTTTTCAAATGCCATGTAATTCAAGCTGTCTTGCAAGCAAAACTTTTTTGAGCAAGCAAAAATTTTTTGAAAATTTGCTGGTCTTCAGAAAATTTCATGATAAGGCTTGTCCTCAGAAAATTGTTTGTAAATTTGCTGGTCTGCAAAAAAACTTAATGGAAATTTGCTGGTCTGCAAAAAACTTCATGGAAATTTGCTGGCCCGTAAGACCAAAAAGGTTGGGGAACACTGGTATAAACAATAATGGGTAAGAGGAAAATATTTTAAATTGTTAGGTGGCCTAACAAATTTTCCGCCGCTGTGAAACGGGTGGGAGAACTCTGGCTGTAACTGGAAAGATTTCACTCATCATCATGCAGTAATTTGAAAAACTCTTTTAAAAATCTGGAAAATTCTGACAACATTAGCTTAGATTAGAACATCGCAAGCTACATGTCACTTTTTTTTTCAAATCAAACCTTCGCGACTCTTGTATCAAAATAAAACTCTAGGAAAAAGGACCTTCTCTGGCCTGAAAAAAGTAAATGAAAACATATATACACAGTATTTCTAATGACAAAGACACTTATCGATGTTCATTACTTGGGCAATGCATATAGGGTAATGAGCAAAGTTGACTACGGACGTTCGATATTTGATCAAATTTGCTCAATTTGCAGGACGAAGATGCCAATTTGGCATCATCCACGCTTCTCCCACCNATTTGCAGGACGAAGATGCCAATTTGGCATCATCCACGCTTCTCCCACCGGGAGACAATGGAAACAACGCCTATGGAATCATAGTTTCCTACACATTGCGAGTTAGACTCAATTGCGGATATTTGGGAGGCGAAATTGAGGCCGACCTTCCATTCAAACTTCTACATCCAGCTCCAGGTAAAATTACTGTCCAATTAATTTCCGGAAATGTATGTACCACTATATACAGAAACACGTGTTCAATAATTTGTTGGTTCATGAAAAATAAATTGGTGCAGTATATTTCCTGGGACTGCATATGGGGCTACCATCTCCATAATTCAAATATTCAATTTATTTTAGAAATAAGGCGAAAAAAGAGGTCGATTCTGGTCATATACAGTACTTGAGCACTAAAAACAGTTCCTGCAAATTTTTCGAAATTCTTTTGCGCTCATTGCTCAGATATCAGCATTGCAATAATTTATAAGAAAATAAAAACAAAGGATTTCTCCATTTATTCAGGTTTGAATGAATAACGGTCACTTATAATAAATGTCGTGTAATTCTCTAAATTTATACAGCTTGTCATGGAAGCTAGGGCGTGCATTTCATGCAGGGATCCGCTTTTACCTCTTTTTGCGACTCAAAAGCGGAAGTGAATTTTAATCAAGTAAATGCGGTATCAACATTTGCTTTGATGAAGTACAGCATCCTGCAGGCTGATTCACTAACCAATTTGGAACCATCAGAAGATCATAAATTTTTCATTCCAGCATTTTCCATCAGAGGATGCCTATTTACCTGATTCAAAAACTATCCATCAAGTTGATTTTCTCTATACTTGGTGTCACTTATGGTGGCCCAACTGTAGTAAGAATCCCTGTTGAAAAATAAAAACTAATCTCTACAACCCAGCAAATAATTCGTTACGGGTATTGCTGCGCCTAACAGTTACGCATTCAAAACGCATTTGTTATGCATAACTGTTACACCCAGCTTCTTCTGAAATGCCTTTTTTTTCTGTGTTGCTGTACAGCAAAATTTAAAGGCTCTATATTATATGGAGCACAAGATGCAAAACCTCTGAATGGAGATGACTAATGAATGCAATGTTATGTTTGGTACCAGATAGTATCACACATTTTTTTCATTTTTGAAGTAATTTCAACAGTCTCCTTCAGCAAATCGGTCAAATGGACTGAGTTTTTGATAAGTTCAAGTAAAAAAGGTTACTAGAAGACTCAAAGTGAGTACCACCAGGTTGACATCGTTCTCCGGAACGACCTTTTATTTTTGATTCGAGACGACATCCGAATATAAGGAGGACAGGCATCTGAATGAAGTTGGATAATAAATACTGAACTCTGCTACCTTCTATTTCAGGCTCTGATGCAGACATGAAAGTGAAGGCTGAAAGAAAAGCCAGGAAGCTGGAAGCAGCACAGCAAATGTCGCGGGACACTGATGATGATGACCCTAACATTGTCTTTGAGGAGAAGTTCTCTCGGTCCTCATAACTACGACTGATTATGTTTTACTGATGTTGTTGACTAAAGAAAAGACACGTAGAAAGAGAGTGAGTTACTGTTGTTATGATCTTCTTAGGTACCTAGTAACTGTTTAAGTGCTCATATACCTGTCTGAAAAGAAAGCAGAACTGCAGTTGGAAAAGCTGTCCATTCTTATAGAGCAGGAATATATAGGCATGCATTTCTTTTGTGTGTATTCCACTTGTTTGTGTTGTTCTGGTTGTACTGGTTATTTGGAAGTCAATGTAGTGGGAAATGCATGTCACTTTTCTTGGCTTCAATTCACTTCGAGATTTATTGGAATAATACAGCAGCAAGGAGATATTTATTTTGAATAAATAAAGTTTTAAACATCGATCAACCTCTGATATGTAAAATGTCATACACAGGTAAACTTTAAATACTGGGATTACAGTATGTGACATGAATATACTGTACAGACTGGAAGAAAACGACTTTCTTTATCGGAGAGACTCCTCCTTTTTGACTGAATGATTTTTTTTATTGAACGTACAAAAAAGCGTAAATGGTCCAAGTTACCAATATTAGTTTTTTTTTCTTTGTCCGCTTAATTGTCAGTCCTCGTCCAATATAAGACGGCATTTTCTTTTGACCCTTGGATTTTGCAAAGGACGCAACCAAACTCACTTCAGAATGTTTTTTGACATTTTTGACTTTTGGTTGGATGATTTCGAAGTATAAATTATAATACTTTACAGTATTAAGGTTTTTCAAGTTTAAAAAAAATCTCTGCCTCATGTGCATATACAGTATTTCTGTATACAGTATCTATACTACAATAGATGCATGCAGTGCACTGAGGACTAAAAAAAACACACTTTGTTCTAGTGCAAATTTTAAACTGAATTATTCATGAATGATATCCCTTTCCGTTAGCTTTGGAAAAATCCGACACTCTTCCAAAAGGGACAATTTGGGAACCAGTTTTCGCTGAAGCTGGGTCAGTGTTTATGAGCTGGTTTAGAAACTGTAGAAAGTTATGGTTTGTGAACTGGAATGTTGACAGACATTTCTCTCCACATGTAATGCAAAATTGAATGTCTCAAAGAAAACTTGTGATCTTATCTTTGCTGGAGAACATCGGTTTCATGTCAATAGACATTTTTGGTCATGCGACATCTCAGCTGAAATAATTGATAGCGTACTCAAGCTTTTTATTCTTATGTGGCAAAGGTGTCGCTCTCTGCCCTGCAAGCAAGTTGTTCTCGTCAAGTGAAAAAATACTATTGATTCAACTTCTGATGATTATTTTTTATGAATGATTCCTACTTCAATTTATTGTACTCCTCTTTCGACAAATGGATCATTGTCTGATGTATTCGTGGAGCCAGTATAGGTAGGGCTAGGTGGCTTACTGTAATTGATTTTGATATACATTAAAAGGTAGCATAAGTGTAACCAATAAAGAAGAATAAAAAAGCCAAAACATACATGCTCTTCATTGGTTAGAACTATTCATGATCATCTTAATGCCATTAGCTCCAGATCATCAAGAAAGATCTCTGATGAAAAACCAAACATTGTCTGAGAGCAGCATATTACCAACCCATCTGACCCCTCATCTGGTTTTTAGAAACTTTATATTGCATCGCAGAGCAATACAGTACTGTATTATGGTTAATTTAATTTTGTTTTGACAATAGTTTTCAATTCAACATTCATGTCCTCTGTAAATGTATAGGAGTACCCGTGGGTGATACATAAAATGTACTGTACAGTACAACAGGTTTTTCATGCTATTTTCTAACAGTATCTTTTTTCCTCATTCAGGGTTAAGGAGAGTTGTTTTCGGCTTGTGAAGTTATCTTCATGCGAACTATGTGGAAATGAATAAAAATTTTGTTCCTGTGACTTTCTAACTGCACAAGGAAGAGTTTGTCTGACGTTTGTCCTAGGTCTTACGTCAATCGTAATGCTTGGCATATGTATTTGCAAGATTTTCACTGAATTTCGCAGACTTGATTGCGAGAAGTATTGTGACTTTCTGTCAGCGAATTTCCAGCAGAATTTCGCAAAAATCTGAGCTCAGAGCTCTCATTGATCAACCGTCATTCATTTGGTTTCTACAGCCGTCAGACATACCGTTACTTACTATACACGCGACGTATTTACTCTTCACTTCGAAGAAATTTCAAAAACTGCTGCTTACAATTTTGATTATATCCCTAACACGTCACTTTCGATTCGTAAAAAAAAACGGATTGTGACTCAGCGCTACGTGACGTCATATTAAACATTTCGATTCCACTCGTGAATATGGAATATGTACATTTCCAAGGGCTGCATGTTGCATTGAGTGACACAGTGTCCTCTATGCGGCAGCTCTTAAACTTATCATCCAATTCCGCGGGATGTCGCTCTTTTGAGGCCCAAGTTAGGAGTCTTGAAATCGATCAATCAAGTCCGCCATCATTAACAGAAGGATCAATAATCAATTTTTCAACATAGTTGTGACGTCGCTTGATTGCGATTAACTTTATCGGTAAGAAAACCTGGAACAATATAAGAAGAAACTAATTTAGGCCTTAAATGTATGTTTGGAATGTCTTCGAGATACACAATCACTTTAAAGAAACGTCAAACTGCTGGAAGTGCATCACATTTCCTCCCTTGTTGCATCAATTACTTCAGTGGATTGAAACAAATACTGTATACAGTTTGTGGATATAAGTTTCTTTTAAATGGAATTCGACATTAATTTGGTCGGGGTCCGCATTTCCCTTCCAATGCATTATCAGAAAATCCGCAAGCAAAATATTACATTTTATTTTTCGATTAAGATATCGCAAGCAGAAAAATTGCCACAGTAGAAAATTGTCTGCCATGTTTTCTTGTAGGATTATTTGCGCTTTTTTTTTTTTTGCAGGTATAGTTCAACTTCGGTGCTTTGAATACAGTTGTAAATATCGATGCAGATATTCACTCCCTTCGACAGCCCAAAGAAACTTGGGAGAAACTGCATTTATTCAACAATCTGACACAATAATCATCAGAGGACATCCGAATTTGAACAAAAATAATCTGAAAAAAATAAAACGCGTACACTCAAAGAGAAATACTGTACAATTCTCACAAAAGTTTCGCATCAAGCAAATCCCTCAATCACTGCAGTCAAACTGCAAAATTTTGATCATTCCGCAACAATTTCCAAAATATAAAAAGGTTGCAGTAAACGCAGTACAGTACTTGAATAAACCCGTACCAGTTAAAAAAATTTCCGCATTGACGCGTCTACGCTTTTACTAAGTACCAGAGATGAACTTCATAAAGCGTCGAAAGAAATAAAGAAAAACTCAGCTAGGAACTCATTTAAAAATGACCAGAGGCGCCATCCCGTGACCTTCCCCGAAAACATCACTGGAGGGGTGGAAAATGAGAACAGGCTTGGGGAAGGCCCCAATGCCGCTGCTTCGGTATACTCGGCTTTCGTGGGACTGCTCATTTTACCCACACAAAATGCATTTGCAAAGATGAGCAATTTTCCTTTCTGCTGGTTATACTGCATGTACTGTATGTCTCATTCAACCCTTGGGTGGTAGCAGGCTCCTTTCCATCCCATAGGTAATAGAGGATTTTGTTTGTGTTTGTTGAACACAGGGGCGTAGCAGGTTGACCTGAGGTCACCCAACTGTGTCTGGGTCGAGAAGGCCGGAGTCTGGGAAAATCTAGGAAAAGTATATCCTCTTGTTTTCAATCTCCAATGCCAATCCTATGCAATAAATGCGGGAATAACACCACCCAACAAGGGTTGTTTCAGCCAAAGAGAAAAACAAACCAGCCTTTCCCCAACTTAAGGCCATATTTCCCAGCTTAGATTTGTTTTTCATCTCAGTCCTTTTGGGCACAAAATTCTGTTGAAATATTCCAACTTGGCCACAGAAGGGTAAGCCACACCCCAATGATGCTGGTTAGGTATGCTGTACTTTGGATTTTCAAGACCATTCACTCATTCCAACCATGCACAAATTTTCATGCAAAGATCAGCATGTCTCATTGCATATTGTAGGCATGTCTCAAGGGTGTAAATTACTGTAACTGTAAACCAATGGTGGGCAGAGCCAGGATAATGTTTCAAAATTCATGGTCCTGTCACTTGAAATTAAACTAATAAAAATGAAACTGGTCAATATAGTCGAAGTCCTAAAATAAGTAAATTGTTCTTTCAAAGTTTGAGAAAGGAACCATAAAAAACTTGTCCAATGGCGGGCTTTCCAGTATTATGACAAAGGATTCACCTGTATAGTTACCAGGATGCGTCTTGAATGGTTGTGATTATTTTATTACTGTTCAATTGATTTATTTCTTTCTTTGCTCAAGCCACACAATAATAAGGATACAGTATTTTCCTATGGCGTTCAATTGGTTTTTGGCTGAAAAATAAAAAATTCCAAAAATGCAAGCATTTTAGATTCATACTTTTCTTCATAGCACCTACTCTTTGGTGTCAGGTATGTTTATATCTAACCCTGGAAAATTTTTTATTTTATGACAATCCCAGAAGATTGTATCATGCTTAATTTAACACATCATCCAAGAATTGATCGCTTTTTTTACGTCGAGATCGGAACCCTCTGCATCATTTTGTAATTTCACAATCATCCATTGAATGGTTGATACGTTTTCCCTTGCTCTTCTCGCACAAGGCACGACTCATGCGAAACAGTACCGTAATGTACTAACTATTATTCGTTTTAAAAGCGGTTCCATGCAGACTTATCATGAGAATATAAGCCTATAAATCTTCTTCCAAGATAAACCCGACTCAGAAAGACTTCGTGTCCTCTGAAGGATAAGAAAAAGTGCCTTAGGTGCGCCCACACACACATTTGTGCATTCCCCCGAGGGTGTCGTCTCGTCACCTGCGTCTTGCTTACTTGTGTCCCCGCGACCGAGACTGACGACGGAGCTGGCTCTCTCCCTCCGCCTGGTTCGCTCAGCTCATCACTGCGCGGCGCTCACTCAATGCATCGCATCACTAAAACCTCATCTACTCCCCATAGAACATGACTTTTTGTACTCTTCACACTCATAATTGAACCTTTAAATGCTGCAGATAAAGTACAGTGAGCCCAAATGATTTTTTATTCTGGCATGAAGAGATATTGAATCCATCACCTTTTTTGGTGCTTTCAGCTACCATTCAATATGCAAAATGTAAAAAGGGCAGCGAATGTCAACATGCATGCTTTACAGGGTTGGTAAGTTACAGTGTAAAACTTAATTTGGCCATAAATTCATTGAATTTATTACTGGGTGGTTTTTCTCCTGTCAATAATGATTTCCGCCAGGAACTGTGAACCCATTTTGGTTGTGTATTGCTGAAGGGATGAAAAGAGCATCATGCACCAGAAAAGTATGCCAATGAAGTCAATGTTGGGAGAAACAGCATCAGATGTGAGTTTAACCCTGAAGAAACAAACTAGAAAAAAACATTTTCACGAAAATAGAATGAAAGAGAGGAGCAAACTTACTGATGAAAGAGACAATAATGCCTTGTTGAGTGGAATTTCAAAAAGAATGTCTAAAATATACCTTATTCACACACATTTTGAAGCTAGACCAAGAATGCATACAGGAATTATTCTGCTGCTGAGATAAGATTGCTGTTTTTTCCTGCATGCCTCATTATCTTCAGGACTCCTGTCGAATCACCTAAAACCTCTATGACAATTGTTAAACAAATTAATTAGATTTTAAAAAACGAATACCAAAGTCTAACTCACCGGAACAGTGCCTCTGTCACTGAAAAATGACAATTTTCCTGACCTCTCCCTCAAAATGTCCGGTATCAACGTGTCCATGCCTGAGTCTAGCGTCGGCGGGTGCTCAGCGGGAGGGTGGGCGAGCTCGAAGCCGGGAGTGTCGGTCCCCGCAAGCAGCTCCCCGAGAGGGACTGCCGGCCTCAACGCGAAAGGCTCCAACGAAGCGAGGCGGGCGTTGGAGAGGTGTACGGTATACGGGGAGGGAAGGATGGAAAATCGCGGACGGTTGCGTTTTCCCTACTGGAGGGCTTCGCAGTCAGGGACATCTTGCGGAACGATTCCGAGCTCAGCCGAGAAGTGACTGCCGAGAAACTGCTTCGGATTGTTCGGAAAGGGCATCTACTATATACACGTTATTTTGATTTACTCAAGAGGGGTGGAATCCTTATTTCCGCGCAGCGCCGAATCCTCCCCCTGCGCCCCGTCTGTTGTTGTGTACCTCTGCGTCTTCGGGCTGTATTCAACAGTGTCACGTACGATAAAGCAGTGTTGGTAGCGGAGAAAGGAAGAAAAAGGAGTGTTTTTTTGCCATGGCGTCAGTGGTGAATTGGCTAGATTCTCGGGCCTTCTTTGAGCAAGCCAATTCGGCGCAGTTCGAGTATGTGTTGTCGAGGTACAAGGAAGCTCTTCAGCATAAGTCTGAGACTAAGAGGAAACCCGCCGAACTTCAGAAACTCGACGCTTGGTGAGTTGATCTTGCAATCGACATTGAAGCGATCACCCAACTGATTACGAAAAACGATCGTAATTTCTTTAAGAATAAGCCCATCTCTTTGGAAAAATTCAATTAAAATCAGTTTTTTTTCGTTGAGATTTCAACATATCACGGAGGTATAAGACGTAAGTCGGATACTTGACGCTCGGAGACATCGCAATAAGTTGCGTGTTAACGCATGAATGACGCATCTAATTGATAGCCTTAACTTTTCACTGTACTACAGCACCAGTGTATGAGTGCTTGGGGTTTAAAATATTCATTCAGTGATTTTTGAAGATCTCTCTTGCATATTTGCATGACGGAATTGTACGACTGAAAATATGGCAAGCTTCATTGTACTGTACCTGAAATGTATTGCAAACATGTATTTTATCTGTGAGTCCCTAATGACTCACGACTCACGTGCAGTTTGAAAATCTAGTTCTTGAATTTTTAAACTCCAGGGCTGACTAAATATCGTTTTAGTTTCAGACACTATAGCTGTAGGCGACGGGCTGTAGAAAACAATACTTTCAGACGCAAGTGGGTATTGAAGTTACCAGCTTCAAATTGCAAGGGATTCTGTTTCTGTAATAGGAATTGAAATACAGTACAGTATATAAATCTGGTGCTGAACGTTTTACCTTACGAACTTGTTGTTTGAACAAACGTAAGTTGTTTAGGCATGACGCCAATTTTATTTATCCCCTGAACTTAAATCAACTCAAAATTCAACTTCCTAGCACCTTCTTCTTGTTCAAAAAATGTACCTACAACTACAATTTCAAAGTCAATTTTTCAGACCAGTACAAACAATCATCCTATGGAACCCCAGCTTTACCTCAGTAAAAATATACAGGGTGCCACAACTGCTGACTCACTCACCGTCACCCATGGAATATTCAGTGTAATACTGTACTGTAATGGGACGGACAGATGCCAAAACTGAAGAAGCAAAGATAAGCCCCACAAACATAAAAAGTATTTTCAAATACGAAAACAAGTGCTTAAACCAAACCTCCATGTGAAGAAGGATAAAAAATAAAACTAGACTTCGTTGAGGGACCTCAATAATTTTCAATGTATAATCATCCAGGTTTGAGGGACCAACGGGTGACATTTTATTGCGACTAGGTTTGTGTTCTTGTAAAAAAAAACTTCGAACATTAGACATTTGCTGGAGTCTAAGCCACAGCCTGTCTATTGTGTTCGCATTCACCAATAGACTCAATTGAACATTACCTTATCCCTAAAAAATTTAGCTAAAAAAGTGGGATGCCTGTGAGCGCATACTTGAATATACAGTACTGTACATTGTTGTTTTCTGCAAATTTTGTAACTTTTCTGTGTACAAATCTTCAGTGAACTCTAAAAAGATACCGTAATTCTGTAGACACTCGAATAAGTTAAAATGTGCACAATATTTATACAGTACTCAAGTCAAACTGGCAAATGAACATGTGAAACCCAAAAAAATTCATCGCAATGAAATCCTATTATTATTAACCCAAATTTCACATGTTAGCGTTTATCTCCTGAAATGCATTATATTGATCTGTGTATCACCAAAACCAGGTCGCGCTTCTTCTCGGAAATGTGTTTTGAAAATTTAAGTTGCGTTGTCTCACATTAGGTCACATGGTACTCCAATAAATATTGCATGTTATTTCATTCCTTTTCTATGGGATTACCTCTGACATGAAACACAAACTTACCCACAGTACACTGAAATCAAAAGTTTACCTTTACTCATATCTACCAATAACAAAGCTGCCATGTGAAGTTATAGTACGCTTACTTCGAGAGTCCTTGCATCATGATTATCACCGTATTCATTGTCGGTAGCCGGCAGAAAACCACGTGGTTGCCGGCATTTACTGAGGAGAGAGAGAGAGGGGGGGGGGGAGGTGTTGAGAAAGAGAAGAAAACATAAGAGAGCAAGAGAAGCGGAAAATGGTGGAGAAAGAGAAGAAGAATGAGAAAGAGAATGGTGATCAGAATGAGGGGGAAGGGGAGGGACGTTAGAGAAGAGAAGGTTGAGACGTGTCCCAGCATGTGATACGGTCGTAAATATAATAAACTAATTGTTACATAGAACGGTTTGTGTAAGGCGCCACGCGGGAGTGCAGGGATGTGATGTGAGTGAGTGAGTGAGTGAGTGGGTGGCTTTTCCCCTCCACTTCGCCTGCAATCAGCTGATCCGGATTCGGGTATACCCAGGTTAAATACTCTGCTCTGTGTGCTGTGAATACGCCTCAGGGGCGGAGGTGGGGGGTGGAAAAAGGACAGAACTCACAGGAGTGACAGGACTAGCAGATGACAAGGAGCTATATATGGCTCATACAGCACATATAGGCTGTGTCAGTCAGAGGAAGAAGCCGCTGATTCACTCACTCTATATAGGGGTTTTAGAGGCTGTCAGTCAGAGGAAGACTCACTCATTCAGGGAGAGTAAAAGCTTTTTTTGCTTTTGACTCTTGTAGTGACTCCCAAAAAGGAACTGTGCAATTGGATCTTGGCTGACAAATGCAGGTGATCTACGATTCTATAGTAAATAGGTGAACTCTGTCAGTTAAAAGTCTTTGATGCACTCGCTCATTCACAAAGAATAACAGCTTTTGCGCTTTTGGCGCTTCTGTTGATTTCAAAAAGTACTGTATGGTGGGGTTTTGGCTAACAAACGCAGAGGAGCTGCTGTTTGTAGGAGAACTGTCTCTACATTCAGATTCAGGGGGCCAGAACAAATTGGTATAGGGAGACTTTATAAAGTCATAATTTTAGATATTTTGACTGAGTCAAATATTTATAGAGAGAGAATTTACAGTCATAGAGAGCCTCTGGGGGATGAGTAGAGATACCTATGAGACTTGGAATAAACGGTACTTTCCTGTTATCTCAGTACCCTTTTTTTGTCTCATGAATTCAGTATTTATTAGGTTAGGTTAGGTCAGGTTATGTTAATTAAAAGATATTTGTAACCAACATAACCTGACCTAACCTAACTTCACCTAACCACCTCCCAAAATCAGTTTCTGCTTTTGTTGGGTTTCTGCTGAAACTGATTTTGGGAGGCCGTTAGGTAAAGTTAGGTTAGGTCAGGTTATGTTAATTGAAATATACCTAACCTAACTTTACCTAACTGCCTGCCAAAATCAGTTTCAGCAGAATGCGGAAAAATGAAATTCACAGTTTCTGGTAGGTGCACAGAAAGTAGGTACTGAGATAACAGGAAAGTACCAAATAAACATTATAAGAGAAAATTGTTGTGGACGAGCTCATTGCAGAAATGTAGAGAAAGTCTACTTTATGGGGCTCTTATGCAGTTTATATTGGCTGTGCCAGGCAGAGAAGAAATCACAGATTCACAGTAAGAATGACAGCTTTTGGCCCTGGTGGCCACTCCAAGAAATACTGTACAATGAGGTCTTGACTACATGATGATTGACTACATACTACATGGAGCTACACCATACTGTACTGTTTAAGTGTTTAAGCCAATGTCAGTCATCAATCACTCACACACAAAGAGTATCAGTTTTTAACCTAGTGGTGATGACTCTCAAGAAATACAGTAATATGCCCTGGGATTATGGTTTAAAAATAAGATTCACTATTAAGGGCTCATAAATTTGTAGGCTGTGTCAGTCAGAGGAAAGGACACTGATTCAGTCCATCACTCATTCACAAAGAACACAAGTTTTTGGCCTTGATTCTTGGAAAGTGACTCTTGTCCAATGAAGGCTCACCTAACAAACAAAGAGGAACTACTATGTACAGTATAGGGATTCCATACCATATATAGGCTGTGTAATTCCCAGGAAAGTTAAATCATCTACTCACTCTTTATAGGACGCATATTGGCTGTCAGTCAGAGAAAAATCACTGGTTCATTCAGCCATTCATATTATAGAGTAACAGCTTTTTGGCATGTTGGTAACTCATATTGAAAGTCAGAAGTACTGTCATGGTTGACAAATACAATCCGTCTCAGGGAAATGTTTTTTTTTGGCTGGAAAGCATTTAAGATAATTTTTAAATGCGGTATTGAGAAGCAATTTTAATGCTTTCTGAAGCAACTTTATATTTTGACTAAATTTTTTTTTTTTTTAAATTCCAGACGACTGCGGTTTGTGAATAATGTGATTGAGTTCAGTGTATTGTACAGTACTTTGACAAAAGCTTCAAAGAAAAGGGGGGAATTCAGGGATTTCCTGAGTTGTTCTTTGAACAACATACGCCATTTGCTTCAAAATTTATTTTCCACATTATTCTATTTCCTCGCAAGAGACGTGGTTTCAGATATGTTATTTGCAACTTGAAAAGCAAAATTGATGCATTGCATTGCCTACCAAAGCCCGAATTTTTCTGAAAAAAAAAAAACAAGAAGAACAATTAGGACGTCGCATGACAAATTTCGCTGGACGTGTTGAGTATACAATCAGTGATGATTGCTCTGACCAAAGCTCCTCCCACCCAATTCCTTCCCGAGTGACATAACAACTAATAGCTGTAATTGGGCTCCATGTTTAGATGGGCCAATTTGTGCCAAAGCCTCTCCTTCCCATCCTACAGAGATTAATCTCCATTAATGAGAGTGAGATAAACAAGGACCCAGAAGGCATTCCTTTCACAAGCTTGGAAGATAGAGGAAACAGGACAGAGAAACGAACAAGGTAGTCAAACAATGGACTTTTTCAGGAATTTGAATCTTGCCTTTGGATTATTTCTTTCAGATACAGTACTTGATGATGGACTTTTCTTTGTTTGTTTTTTTTCTGAAAGTACAAGATAAAAAAAATTCTGAGTCAAATCTATTCTACTTCCTTTTTTTTATTTTCCTGCTGAAAATCTCCACTTTTGTACCATATAAATGAGAATACAATGAACAGTTTTCAATTATTAAATTCTGTGTCTTCTGTTCATTCTGGTCCTCATACTTCAAAAAAAAATACATGCTTAAAAAGGTAATTTTAATGCTTTCCAATTGTAATAATACACATCAGTACAGCATTGAAAATGTTAACGTGATTAAAATGACATTGATGAAGGAAGTTTTCAAGAAACTCTGATAATATAAGTTTTTTAATATACTAAATGGAACGAAAGTAACTTTGTTTCAAAATACGTACAGTACACTGATGGAAGAATAGTAAAAATGTTGGCCTCTGCTTTCACCTATGCAGTATACTTATATTTTTCCTCAATGTTCCAGCTGAATAATCAGTAAATTCATCTCATACCACTTTTAGAGAACTTTTTTGAAAGATGTTTCATGTGAAGTGCCTAGAAGTCTATTGATTGTTATTTGATAGATTAATTTGAATTTTAGCCATTTTTCAAAATGTTGGTTTTTCTATACAGTATCATACTCATGATATGTTTCCTTAGCTCTCTGGACTTGTCATTTTTTTTTTTCAAGTTTTATCTTCTCTGAGCCTGAGATTGTAAAATATTGTAATTACACGGCATTTTTCTGTTGGCTTCCTCCTGTCATTGTTCATTTTGATCCTCAAACGGAAAATCCATTGTTCCCTGGCTGAAATAGTACCGCACATATGAGTTCCCGCGATAGTTGTGCAAGCTTGCAGAAAGTTTTGGGAGTTATAGCTCTGGTGCTCAATGACCCCACTGTGTTAAGGAGGATGACCTAACCTAACTTTACCTAACTGCCTGCCAAAATCAGCTTCTGCGGAATGCGGAAAAATGAAATTTGCAGTTTCTGGTAGGTGCACAGAAAGTAGGTACTGAGATAACAGGAAAGTACCAAATAAACATTATAAGAGAAAATTGTTGTGGACGAGCTCATTGTAGAAATGTAGAGAGAGTCTACTTTATGGGGCTCTTATGCAGTTTATATAGGCTGTGCCAGGCAGAGAAGAAATCACAGATTCACAGTAAGAGTGACAGCTTTTGGCCCTGGTGGCCACTCCAAGAAATACTGTACAATGAGGTCTTGACTGCATGATGATTGACTACATACTACATGGAGCTACACCATGCTGTACTGTTCAAGTGTTTAAGCCAGTCAGAGGAAGAGTCATAGATCCACAAACTCTCTACATGAGTTGTTCAGGATGTCAGTCATCAATCACTCACACACAAACAGTATCAGTTTTTAACCTAGTGGTGATGACTCTTAAGAAATACAGTATTTTGCGCTGGAACTCTGGTTTAAAAAAAAGAGACACTATTAAGGGCTCATACATTTGTAGGCTGTGTCAGTCAGAGGAAAGGAGATTGATTCAGTCCATCACTCATTCACAAAGAACAAGAGTTTTTGGCCTTGATTCTTGGAAAGTGACTCTTGTCCACTGAAGGCTCAGCTAACAAACAAAGAGGAACTACAGTACTATGTACAGTGTAGGGATTCCATACCATATACAGGCTGTGTCATTCACAGGAAAGTTAAATCAACCAATCACTCTTTACAGGACGCATATTGACTGTCAGTCAGAGAAAAATCACTGGTTCATTCAGCCATTCATATTATAGAGTAACAGCTTTTTGGCATGTTGGTAACTCATATTGAAAGTCAGAAGTACTGTCATGGTTGTCAAATACAATCCGTCTCAGGGAAATGTTTTTTGGCTGGAAAGCATTTAAGATAATTTTCAAATATGGTATTGAAACGCAATTTTAATGCTTTCTGAAGCAACTTTATATTTTGACTAAATTTTTTTTTGAAAATTCCAGATTTACTGCGATTTGTGAATAATGTGATTGAGTTCAGTGTATTGTACAGTACTTTGACAAAAGCTTCAAAGAAAAGGGGGGAATTCATGGATTTCCTGAGTTGTTCTTTGAACAACATACGCCATTTGCTTCAAAATTTATTTTCCACATTATTCTATTTCCTCGCAAGAGACGTGGTTTCAGATATGTTATTTGCAACTTGAAAAGCAAAATTGATGCATTGCATTGCCTACCAAAGCCCGAATTTTTCTGAAAAAAAAACAAGAAAAAAAATTAGGACGTCGCATGACAAATTTCGCTGGACGTGTTGAGTATATAACCAGTGATGATTGCTCTGACCAGAGCTCCTTCCACCCAATTCCTTCCTGAGTGACATAACAACTAATAGCTGTAATTGGGCTCGATGTTTAGATGGGCCAATTTGTGCCAAAGCCTTTCCTCCCCATCCTACAGAGATTAATCTCCATTAATGAGAGTGAGATAAACAAGGACCCAGAAGGCATTCCTTTCACAAGCTTGGAAGATAGAGGAAACAGGACAGAGAAAGGAACAAGGTAGTCAAACAATGGACTTTTTCAGGAATTTGAATCTTGCCTTTGGATTATTTCTTTCAGATACAGTACTTGATGATGGACTTTTCTTTGTTTTTTTCTGGAAGTAAAAGATGAAAAATATTTTGAGTCAAATCTATTCAACTTTCCCTTTTCTTTTCCTGCTGAAAATCTCCACTTTTGTACCATATAAACGAAAATACAATGTACAGTTTTCAGTGATCAGATTGTTTGTCTTCTGTTCCTTCTGATCCTCATAGGTCACAAAAATACTGTACATGCTTAAAAAGGTAATTTTAATGCTTTCACCTGTAATAATAAACATCAGTACAGCATTGAAAATGTTAACTTGATTAAAATGACATTGATGAAGAAAGTTTTCAAGAAACTCTGATAATATACGTTTTTTAATATACTAAATGGAACAAAAGTAACTTTGTTTCAAAATACGTACACTGATGGAAGAATAGTAAAAATGTTGGCCTCTGCTTTTACCTATGCAGTATATTTAAATTGTTCCTCAATGTTCCAACCAAATAATCAGTAAATTCATCTCACACCACTTCAAGAGAATTTCTTTGGAAGATGTTTCATGTGGAGTGCCTGGAAGTCTATTGATTGTTATCTGAAAGATTAATTTGAATTTTAGCCATTTTTCAAAATGTTGGTTTTTCTATACGGTATCACCCTCATGATGTGGTCTCTTAGCTCTCTGGACTTGTCATTTTTTTATTGATTTCAAGTTTTATCTTTTCTGAGTCTGAGATTGTTAAAATATTGTAATTACACGGCATTTTTCTGTTGGCTTCCTCCTGTCATTGTTCATTTTGATCCTCAAACTCTTTTAGGTAACAAGGGACCGACTTTATCATGGCGTGTATACTCAAGGGCGCTATCAACACGTTCGAACGTCTTTCAAAACCCTCAATATCGAGACCACGAGTTACTGGGGTGACACAATTCCTCCTAACACGCACAGGCACACCGACCCTTGGTTAATGTTGAACGCGAGTGTATAGGGAAAGAAGGAAGAAAAACTTGGACGAGACGGTTGGGGGAGGTTTCCTATGATGGGAGAGCATTGCCCTGACTTTCCCTGCCCCCACCCACCTGAAAAGAATTCACGCCAAAGCTAGCGGGTGGCGTCACCTATCTGCTCATATTTGAAACACACCTGTGTGCTTCGTCTACGTGATACCAGATGTCGCGCAATGTTGACTATGTTGTAATTCCGGGCTATGCTTGGTTCGTCTTCTGATACAGGTTCCAAGAGGAACTGCCGAGGATCATGAAGAAAAGAAAGCCTGACATGTTTTTCACTCACGACGAATTAGTTCAAGCCATCAAATGGAAACTGGCTGTAAGTTTGCGAATGAAGTTAAATTCGAGGGCTGCTTGGCCGAGGCGATCATATTGTGACTTATTTGTGTTTTGTTTTCCAGAGAGGGAAATTCCGCCCCAAGCTGAAGGAGCTGGTTCAAATGAACACTCCCAGGCAGCACTACAACCTCTGTTTCTTCCGAACGTCCGTCAATCCCTTCGTTTTATAGTTCTCGCGATAGAACCGAAACTCATTGGATTTCCCGTAACCAGGACGAAAACGGAGTCCACGCATCTACAGCGTGTTCTCCTACCGGCTTGTCAACGCTCGCACTGCTCATGAATTTCCGTCGAAAAGGACTTTTTTTAATCTTAGGGAATCGTTTTAAAGCTAATTGCAAAAATCGTGTACATAACATTGAAAAGTCTCTCTAAAATTGAACAAATTTAGAACAAGAAGAGTTTTTATCATTTTTTACTAAAATTATTGAAATTTTTTAATGTTGCTGAGCATGTTTGAAGAAAAAGTAAAGAATAAGGTAAAAGTCGCATAAAAATTTCGCTTCAATAAGAATAATGGAATGTCAATGAATGGACCTGACACTGCTTCTGCAAGAAAATTTCATCATTATTGGAAAATTCTTCTTAATTCTGTTGTAATAGCTTGTCGCTCTGACAAGGAAACTACTGCATTTCTTTTTGAAAGTGTTTTTGTTTGGCTACAATAAAAAACCTGGGATTTTATGAGGAGTAAGTCCAATTTCCGGAAAGAAATTTCAAATCCTCTCAAGGGAATCTCATTAAGTCATTATCACAGCTTTTTGATAGAATATTTTGTATTTTGGTTACTATAGCAGTTTGCTATTGGAAGATCTCACCTATTCTCTTTCTTACAGCTGTTTTAAGCGTGATGGCACCTGAGAAAGTTGCTTTCATGGCCGATGAGTGTCTCCTGGCAATCAACAAGGGAGAAGCTTTGGATTACTCCATGAACGAGTTCATGCAATATCTGGAAAATGTTGAAAAGCTGTGTGAAAGGCTCAATGCAGGTGAGTTAGCAGAAGAAGGCTTATTTTGTTTCATCGCATTCAGTTCTCCGGGGAGAGAAAAAAATTTCAAACCTTTTTCTTGTAAATTACTGTATTGGAAGCAAAGATCCTATAGAACACGAATGCCTTTCCAAAAATATTGCCACTGATGCATTCCAATAATCCTGTCAGATAGTCTGTAAGATGCAAACTTTACATTCTGTCTCATCTCTTGGATTCACCAAAATTTGGCNGCGGGTGGCGTCACCTATCTGCTCATATTTGAAACACACCTGTGTGCTTCGTCTACGTGATACCAGATGTCGCGCAATGTTGACTATGTTGTAATTCCGGGCTATGCTTGGTTCTTTTTCTGATACAGGTTCCAAGAGGAACTGCCGAGGATCATGAAGAAAAGAAAGCCTGACATGTTTTTCACTCACGACGAATTAGTTCAAGCCATCAAATGGAAACTGGCTGTAAGTTTGCGAATGAAGTTAAATTCGAGGGCTGCTTGGCCGAGGCGATCATATTGTGACTTATTTGTGTTTTGTTTTCCAGAGAGGGAAATTCCGCCCCAAGCTGAAGGAGCTGGTTCAAATGAACACTCCCAGGGTCGTGATGTTGGAGACAAAGAAGGCTTGCAGGCAGTTAGGGAAGCAAAATATCAAGAGCGCTATCTTGGCTTTGAGTAACCTAAAGGGCATTGGTCCTGCTTTTGCCTCAGGTGCGTAGATGTCGCCCTTCTCCTACCGGCTTTTCAACGCTCGCTCTGCTCATGAATTCCCGTCGAAAAGGACTTTTTTTTATCTTGGGGAATCGTTTTAAAGCTCATTACAAAAATCATGTACATAACATTGAAAAGTCTCTCTAAATTTGAACAAATTTAGAACAAGAAGAGTTTTTTTTCATTTTTTACTAAAATTATTGAAATTTCCTAATGTTGCTGAGCATGTTTAAAGAAAAAGTAAAGAATAAGGTAAAAGTCGCATAAAAATTTCGCTTCAATAAGAATAAGGGAATGTCAATGAATGGACCTGACACTGCTTCTGCAAGAAAATTTCATCATTATTGGAAAATTCTTCTTAATTCTGTTGTAATAGCTTGTCGCTCTGACAAAGAAACTACTGCATTTCTTTTTGAAAGTGTTTTTGTTTGGCTACCATAAAAAACCTGGGATTTTATGAGGAGTAAGTCCAATTTCCGGAAAGAAATTTCAAATCCTCTCAAGGGAATCTCATCAAGTCATTATCACAGCTTTTTGTTAGAATATTTTGTATTTTGGTTACTATAGCAGTTTACTGTTGGAAGATTTCACCTATTCTCTTTCTTACAGCTGTTTTAAGTGTGATGGCACCTGAGAAAGTTGCTTTCATGGCCGATGAGTGTCTCCTGGCAATCAACAAGGGAGAAGCTTTGGATTACTCCATGAACGAGTTCATGCAATATCTGGAAAATGTTGAAAAGCTGTGTGAAAGGCTCAATGCAGGTGAGTTAGCAGAAGAAGGCTTATTTTGTTTCATCGCATTCAGTTCTCCGGGGAGAGAAAAAAATTTCAAACCTTTTTCTTGTAAATTACTGTATTGGAAGCAAAGATCCTATAGAACACGAATGCCTTTCCAAAAATATTGCCACTGATGCATTCCAATAATCCTGTCAGATAGTCTGTAAGATGCAAACTTTACATTCTGTCTCATCTCTTGGATTCACCAAAATTTGGCATGTCCCTTGGAAAATTTGAAGATCGCTTGCCTTAAGTGTCACTTGAACAAATTTCAGTTCAGGATAAATACCAAATTTGTAAAACGTCCAGGAAGTGATTGAAATTTTCGCTGAGTTTTCAAGTTCCGGGATCATGTAAATTTGTACGTGTTATTAGAATAACATTTTTTCTGTCAAATATTTTATACATATTTCATTATTCATAGAATTCCTGCTTATACAGAAACTTGCCGAATACCATAGTGAAAAGGCATTAAGAAAATAATTTGCCTTTGCCTTTGATGTAGTTTACTGGAATTTGTTTGATCATGTAGGTCAAAGTTGAATATTAAAAGGACTAAATTCGACTAAATGAAGTTTGACATGAACGTTTTTGGGTAAGACTAGTTTGAATACTTTGAAATTCATTTTCCCTAGAAATTTGGCCAGGTCGTTAAAGACTTTGACTTCACGAGTCCCAACTGCACTATTTTCTCCTGTCTGATCCACAATGTAGCTTAAAATGGGAAAGACCATTTGAGTTTTTTTTATGTTTTGTTTAAAAGTATAATTTTAAAGATATCCTTTTCAAGGGTAGGGTATCAAGAGATTTGCACCATTTAAAAATGGAACGTAATGTGTTGAGTTATTCAGTTTTGAGTTTTCTATACGTAGGCGGTGATTTCAAATCGATTTAGATTACAGAACATGGATATTTTGTTTGAAATATCTGGAAGACACTTCTTGACTCAATCCTTCTTTTTCCTTTTCGTTCTTCCCAATTTATGAAGACTTCCCCACCATTTCGTTCCGAAAATTCAATCTTTGAGAGCGCCCCGATTCGTAGTTCAAACAAAAATTTCTTCGATCATAAATTAATTTTCACCAACAAAAGAACTGAATCGATTTTAGAAAATCCTCCCCTTTTTATATTAAACGCGATTTTTTTTTTTTACAGAGAATCCTGACTTTTGGACGCCTCACAAAGTCGAGCTTGCCATTTGGTCGCACTACGTTTTGTCAGAGATGAACCCAGATTCTCTCGATAGCATTGAAACTCTCACCGCTGGCAACACTGTGCTTCCGGCCGAAGTAACAGAGTCTACCCACGATGACAAAGAGCCCAAGAAGGTGTCGGAAGACGAAGACTCCCGCGGATCCCACCAAGAACACATTGTTTCTTCGGGTGACGACGAGCTGTCACGCGACTCCGCCGGGAAGGTAATTGAAATCTGATCAAAAGCGCGGATGATTGGAATTTGAAGACGAGTTAATGTCAAATTTTTTTAATCCAGTGTGATCGGGCTCTTGAGATTTTCTGGGGAGTTGAAAACCAATGTCTCCGTGTAGAAATCGCGTTTAATATAAAAGGCGGAGGATTTTCTAAAATCGATTCAGTTCTTTTGTTGGTGAAAATTAATTTATGATCGAAGAAATTTTTGTTTGAACTACGAATCGGGGCGCTTTCAAAGATTGATTCTTTTCTGGCCTGATGAAAATACATGTTTGCGCAGCGAAATTTTGTTCGAAGTACATATGGGTAGTTTAAAAAAATTTATAGAACTGTTTTCAAAGTGAAAATTAATTTCTTTGCTGAGAAATCTTTCTAAAAATTGAAAGCGGGGATTATTGAATTTATTCTTTCGTGACGGATGAATTTTCTGAGATTGATCGCATTTTATTTTTGGTGAAACTGAATTTCTGTGCGAAGATATCTTATTCAAATAATGTACTGTACTGTATAACGTTCAAATAAGTTTAAACATGGATTTAAAAAGATCATTAACATTATTCTATTTGTAAAAAAGTTCTGTGAAGAGAAATTTCGTTTGAACCAGGCAAAGGAAAAATTGACGGAAAGAATTATTTCCATGACAGGTGGACAGTCCGAGAGTGACGGAGTGTCATCATGAAAACGGCGACGCGTCGAATGACAGTGGCGTAAAAATGATGCAAGATGTCGCCGCCGTGGATTATTCCTGCAATTCATCTCCTTCCTTGGACGAGCCGCAAGCAAAAAAGATCCGCTTAGAAACGACTACGACGACCTCTGATGAGAAATTGGTGTGAATGAGGCGAGAATGGCACTATTGCGATCCAAAGGAAACGAAATTTTTCTTTTTCTTTAGAATGTCTCGTTTAACGATAGGAAATTATTGGAAGAAGAACATTTTCGGGGACAACAAACGAAGAAAAAAAATGAAGGAGATGATTTTATGTGTCGTTTTCACCAGCAAAAGCAATAGAAGAAGAAAACTACAGAAGAATGTTTGAATCCCGAAAATGTCAATTGTTTTTTGTTCCATATACATAATTTCGCCGAATGATGAACGTTTTTGGTCGTCCATGGTTCGTTTAAAATCTGAGGGAGGAACGGGGGGGGGGGGGGGGGGGGGGGGGGGGGGGGGGTGGGGGGGGGGGGGGGTGGGGGGGGGGGGGGGGGGGGGGGGGGGGGTTATTCGTTCAAGGTGTATATTTTCAGAGAAGAAGAGCGAAATGTCTTTTATTTCTCATGTATCAGTGTAGACCTCTAGGGTAGTTTTTAGGTGGAAGGGGAAACGATGTGTTGATTTGTCCCCCACAAAGAATAAGCGTTCCTTTTTTCATTATTTCCCTTGTGACGTTTTGGGAGGAAGAAATTTGAACGTGTAATGTATATTTTCCTTTTTTTTCAAACGTGAAACGCGTTTAATTATCCACGAGGCTAAAAAAAAATTTTTTGGAAGTACACTGGTTATTTCATTTAAGGTTCCTTTGACGAATCATGAGGAAAGAAAATGTATTGATGGTGTCAAGAATTTTTTGAAGCTTATTGTTTAAGATGTGTGGGGAATGGAAAAAATACAGACCAAATCAGATGTTTTCAGAGGCTCGTGTTTCTGTCATTCAATTGTGTAATCATTTAAGCTTTAAAAACAGAAAAAGACCATCAGGCATCAAGTTCTAAAACCTGAAGAAAAACGTTTCATGGAAAACTGTTTCATGAAATGCCTTCATATTTTTGATGGGTTCATCAAGAATTTTTTGTAATTAACAAAATATCTTTACAATAGATCTTGCGATATAATTTATTGCTCAAACAAATCAAATTCTGAAGTACTCTTCCCAATAACCAAAATTTAAATTTTTTTCAATACTGTAATTTTTAAATGAGGCTTTTTCTGTACTCCGAATGACTGTTTTGACAAGATTTCATTTTATTTTCGAAATGCGTCATCAAATTTTTAGAATGACAAACTTGAATTGACATATCTCACTATTTTGGGCAAAAAAGTGAAGCAATTTTTTAATCAGGATATCTCTGTCACAAATTAAACTACAACACTGAAAAAACTGCAAATGAAAGCTTATTCAATTCTCTCTCAATTTGTTTTTGCTTTGTTTTATAGTTTTGTTTTGTAGTTTTTTCATAGTTGAGTGTCATCAATTGGTAAAAAAAAGCCGTTTGAATGAAAACTTGAAAAAATGTCACGCGTGACTCTTCAGGCGGCTAAGCTGCTGTTTCCAAATCCTCCCAAAAGTTACCTTAAAATTAGGACGACCCAGCACATCAGTTCACAAGAAGAAAAATCGACGATAAATACGGACAGGAAAATAAATTAGCCCATAGAAACTCACCCAGGCAAAAACCAGCAGGAAACACAAAAATCATCTTGCACATGCACACAAAAACCCAGGACACAGGAACAACTGGTGCCACCAGACTAGCACCCAATCAGCTCACTGAACATTCATTATGGAAGATGAGCCAGAAAAATCATGCCTGGGTGGACAAAGCAATACTTGAAAATCCCACCATGGTCCAGAGCAAACCACAACAAAATTCCTCACTGAGCAGTGAGCACCTACCTTTTCTTGTGAATTTTGAGAATGTGTGCACACTGTGGAATGTATCATGGATTGCTGGTTAAACTTCTGCACCCCACTCATCCATAAAAACAGCCCTGGAGATCAAGAGCTGTGAGGGGAACTCCAATGCAAATTCACTCCCCCTCCTTGCCCTGCCCCACAGACACCAAACATCACTTTCTGGATGACCAAACATAGTCCCCAAAGAAATGCCTTGAAAGTTGTGAAGAATTATGGCCCAGACGACTCTCGTGTCATGTTTTCGACACTAAATTACTGACCGTTTTCCCAACTGTTCAAACTTTGGGATTATATTTCTAAATAGTCGGCGCGCCGATTGGCGTGCTGAAAGACAAACGGCAAAAGACATCTGGCGGCAGTTAAGCCGCCCTGAAGGAGATAACCCCCCTCTAAAAACGACGGGGTTTCCTCTGTTTTATGAGGACTGAATTACCCCAAAATACGAGGGGAATTTGACGCTTGGAGTGTTGGCACTCGGAAAAACAAAAACGGCAAAGGGCCGTGTCGAATTCTGTTTCAAAAGAGGGATATCCTCTTCCCACAATTCCTTTTCAAGGATTTTAGCTCATCCCAAAAATCCGAATTCTTGGGGAACAAAAAACTCTGTTCCAAATTGCCGTGTCCTGATAAATTAGCCCACTAGTCAGTTGGGCCGAATTTACCGGGATTTGGCAGAAGTCCTCAACGTTAGAACCTGAAAAAACCCCCGACCAAGCCAGGAGACGAGAAGCGTATAAAAAGCGGACCATTTTGGAGCGCCCATCATCAGACTGAAAAACGCCGTCACTGCGACACTCCACGCAAGGAATTCCAACTCAAAAGTTCTGAAAGTTTGCGAGAAAGAAATCTTTTCGACAACATTGTGCAAAATTGTTGAAAGTGTGCATTTTTGGTTTTTGTGTGTTGAAACATGTTTGCGCTTATTCCGGCAGGTCGCGCACCTGCCAAATCGTCTACTTATTTAATTCTTCCAAAAAACTGTGCTAGTGAGGTCCATCTAGAAGCCCTCTGGTCAGCTTCCTTAACAACTCATCCCCAAAGAAAGGGGGAACCACTTATGTAAAATGGGAGGGTCGAAACTCTGCCCAAAAGGTATCTCTTGGGAACGTACATTCCCTTTCAAGAATAATTTTTCTTGACTAAATTTGTACAAAAGTCACAACAAGAATAGACTTTTTTCTCTCTGAACCATGGAGGGATTTCCAGGTATTGCTTCATCCATCCAGGTGTGATTTTTCCAGCTCATCTTCTTGCAATGAATGTTCAGTGAGCTCATTGGGTGGTTGTTTGCTGGTGGAGTGAGTTAAATTAACTTTAAAAATCAAATGACAATTGAGTGAAATTCAAATTCAACCCTTTTGAATAGTGTCCATGGCTTCAAACCCCATTCATAATATACTGTACACATTTCCAACCTAGCTAAACTGTGCAAATATCTTATTTGCACAGTTCACCAGCAGCAAAAATTTGCAAAAATCAGTAATATTTCATTGATTTATTTTAACTTCTTCACTAATATGTTCATAGATTTCAATGTTCTATTCTTTCTGTTCCATTTATTTTAGATTTCAAATCCAAATTTATATGCATTATTTTGTAAGAAAAAGTTTGCCATTTGGAAAAGTTGGAAAAAAAGTTCCACAGAAGTGCCAGAATTGTATGCATGTGTATAGCTTCTCTTCCTCTTTATATTACAGCACACCCCCACACAACAGACCTCCAGCACAACAGACTGCCTCTGGAGGCAGTTTTCCCTCCCACAGTTCCATGCAATGAACTAAATCCACATTACTGGCTTCTGTTGGTTTAAAATTGATGGTAAAAAGTAAGAATTTCAATTTTTTAATAATTGAATTTGCATAACAGACTTTTCACACAAGAGACAAGTCTGTTGAACAAATTGTACTCGAGCTGGTACAAAAGGCGGGCAGAATTCGAAATGGAACACTGTAATCAGGTGTGGGGTTCACCTGGAACAAGATAAAATGTATTTCGTTTTAAATCCCAAAAATATAAGAATCACACTAATTCAATAGCACACACAATTTGACTGACTTTGACAAAATCTCGAAATTGACTGACTGGGCTGTGATCTAATTAAAATGGCGGCGTCAATCTTTGCAGTAGAATATTCTGTTACATTCCTGTGGATTCCTGAAAGTAATCAAAATTCTTTATTGCAGGTGTTTGCGGTACCCCCGTGCAGAGAACGGTACGGTAATATACCAAATTATTCTGCCACACAAATCAAGTCTGTTGTGCAGGGGTTGACTGTATAAGTTTATGATTTTGGAGGTGGATGCAATTTTATTGAATCATTTTTGGAACTGCAGGTGGGTGAAGTATCTTTACCACAAAATAAGTCAAAAGAGGCATTTAAATCAATCAGATATAGCTTCAAGTTACTATATACTGTACTGCACTTTACTGTACACTTGTACAGTATTGTTAAAATCTGTTCTTATGTTACTGAAAAAAATTCAAATTGCACGTTTTGCTCTATAAGGAAATAAGTACTGGATTTGAAATAAGAGCGATTCAAGGTGTCAGATAATGTCACTCATGCCGTCATGCGTGAGTAGGAGGACCTGTAGGTGGATTGTGGGGCATGAGGCATCAACCGTGTTTTCAGGTGACAGGGGGATGAGAAAAATAACGGGGAACACTGTAGTGATTCTTTATTCATGATAAGGACCTTTTGTCTTTCTGGGTCTTGGCATCATTGTTCCCAGGCAGGAGGCCATTGTTCTTCTGCATCATTTGGTTGCTGTGGGAGGATCTTTAATTTTTTTTTCTTTCCATCAATACATCGGGTATTTTTTCTCTTTTCTGAGCACCCGAAAAAAAAGCTGATCTGGTTCTCATGGCATTGTCTATACCTAATGCTTTTCAGGAGTCTTTCAAACGCCTTTATTATTTTTGTGAATTTCTGGTGTACATGATTCATCGTATCTTCACGCTAAGTTTGTGAACCAAAAAAAATAGAAATATGAATCCTGAAAGTTTCATTCAAGTAACAAAATGTTTTCCTTGATGCTAATGCTTAGCGAGTGATTAGACAGCTGAAAAGCAGTATGAATAATTTGGCATAAACTGTAATTGAAATCTGATTTTCCGTTGGAAAATTTCTCAGATTTAAAAGTCCAGAAATTGAATACACATATTTGATCAGGGTAATTAAATACTGTATCTGTTTGACAATTTTCTATTGAATCATTCCTACTTTTAATGTTTGAGTCTAATCAGCAGCAGCTGCATGCTATTTTTTTTGAAGGATTGTAGAAGCTCTATATGCAAGTGTTTTCCATCGCAAATCTTTCAAAAAATATCTTGTTATGAGTTTATTTTTTTTCCTGAAAGAAGATGAATGAGGGTTTTCTATCTTTCCTAGCACGTATCAAGTACAGTACAATAGCCAAAATTTGGCCAATACTGAATCACAGTTGAATATGAACCACCCAGCAAGCAAAGTTCAAACAAATGTAACCTGCTTTTTTGGATCAATATACAGGGTCGGC